ACATCCTCTAAAACTCTTGAAACTTTGCACACGGGTCAGAACCCATGGCCATCAGGGCCGGGCTGAAGCTGGTCATCGGGCGTGGCAGGGCGGCTCGACAGCGCCCCCTGGACTGGGATTCGAACATTTGTCCATAAATCAAACACACTTGCGTGAATTAATATGAAACTCGGTACAATTATAGATCACATCAGGCCAAACAACTTTCGTGCTCTAAGTTTTACGACAATTAAAATGGAAGTTGAGAATTATGGGTTGTTTGAATAGTTGTCCTAGGAGAAATACATCAAATTACAACGCATGTGTTTACCAATCACAACCAAACTCGGTGTGCAAGAAGTCAAGACATTGAGGATGAAAGTTTGTGAGGGGATTTTTGATATCTCAAACGGTTTGGCCGTGGCGAGGAAACGAAATTATGGCGAGAAACGTGAAACAGGAAGTGTGTTATAACTTCAGCATACATTAACATATCTTGATGAAACTTCATCAGTGTGTTCGCTGTAAGAGGACGATCACATGGATGTGACTATTTCGAGTCAAAGTTATAGCGCCACCAACTGGCAGCAGGAAGTGTGTCACTTTCAAAATGCTTTGAAATCAACCTCTTATTTTTACCCGATTTGCTTCAAACTTCATCTGTATAATGTAAATACATGGCAGATGAAGACCTGTGAATGGATTCTTGATATCTTTGATACTGTTGCCGTGGCAACGCATAAAACTTTAAAATTCTTTTTTTTTTTTTGATGATTTTGAGACTCTTAATGGCTTTTGAGGCCCTTAACGGGTTTGAAAACTCTTGCAACTTTGCACACAGGTCATATCCCACAGCCATCAGGCCCGGGCTGAAGATGGTACCTAGGCGTGGCAGGGGGGCTAGACAGCGCCCCCTGGAACGGGGTCCGAAAACTTGGTCCATAAATCAAACACGCTTGCATGTAATAATATGAATGAAAAACTTCATCTGTATAATGTAAACAGATGAAAAACTTCATGTGTATAATGTAAACATACGGTAGATGTAGACCTGTGAATGGAATCTTGATATCTTTTAAACTGTTGCCGTGGCAAAGCTTCAAACTTTGAAATTATTTTAGGATGCTTTTGAGACCCTTAGAATGCTTGAAATTGCATGAAACTCAACAGACACATCACATTTATTAGCCAGTAGACATGTGCAAAGTTTCAGAAACGGGCGTGGTGAGGGCTCAGTAGCACCACCTTTTGACAAAAGTGGGGTTGTTAGTTTTAACTAGAGTTACAAAAATTGGTATGTATATTGTACTCCTCGAGCCGGACAACTTTCTAATTGACACTCATTAGCTAGGACCCACAGAAAGTCAGATATGTTTGTTTGAATGTAGAGAAAATCTCAGAATTTTGCCAGTCTCTCAGTGTCCCTCTGTGTGAGTGAGAGGAGGGGCGCCTGTCAGGTTAATTTTAACCCTTTATTTGCTGTGTGCGACTTCTCTGGCATTTTCGGGGGCCTTAACATCCTCTAAAACTCTTGAAACTTTGCACACGGGTCAGAACCCATGGCCATCAGGGCCGGGCTGAAGCTGGTCATCGGGCGTGGCAGGGCGGCTCGACAGCGCCCCCTGGACTGGGATTCGAACATTTGTCCATAAATCAAACACACTTGCGTGAATTAATATGAAACTCGGTACAATTATAGATCACATCAGGCCAAACAACTTTCGTGCTCTAAGTTTTATGACAGTTCAAATGGAAGTTATTTATGAATTATGAATTATGGGTTGTTTGAATAATTGTCCTAGGAGAAATACATCAAATCACAATGCATGTGTTTACCAATCACAACCAAACTCGGTGTGCATGAAGTCAAGACATTGAGGATGCTCAATTCCGGACGGATTTTTGATATCTCGAACGGTCTGGCCGTGGCGAGGAAATGAATTTTATGACTAAAAAAGGACACATAAAGTGTGTTATAACTTTGCTCAATTTACCTACAGTTACAAAACTTACCACGTATATTGTTCTCGTCAAGCCGATCAACTTTCCAATTTAAAGTCATTCGCTCTGAGCAACAGAAAGTCAGATATTGTAGTTTGAATGGATTTATTTCCCCTGCGATTCTCTCTCTCTCTCTCTCTCTCTCTCTCTCTCTCTCTCTCTCTGTGTGTGTGTGTGTGTGTGTGTGGGGGAGGGGAGGGCTGTTGTCTGTGTTTATGTGTGTGTGTGTGTGGCTGTGATTTTTCCTACAAGTCCTTGTCTCTAAGTCCTTGTCTTTTTGCATAACAATTTTGCATAACAATATTTTTAAATGACAAAATAGGCATATAACCCCCATCTTTTAAATGTATAGATTGCTTTAAATAAAAGTAAGATTGTATTTGTAATTGAAGTTGAATGAATTTAAAATTCATGTGCTATATTTCAATATATTTGTTTTCCTTAAGATTTTAAAACACTAACTTCATTCTTATCTGAATTACAAATATTTGTTTCTGTATAAAATAATACTCTGACTAAAAACACATTTGATGTTTTTTTTTTGGTATTTTTATTTACATGTATTTATGTGTGTGTGTGTGTGTGTGTGTGTATAAAGTGCAGGTTTTTTTTAGATAAAGTAGAATTTCTATAACTATGTGTTGAACTAATAAATCACTCTTGTGTGTGTTAAACACAATCTACTTAATACAGACAACTTCATTATAAAGATAAATAACAAATCCAAAAAATATATGATTATAATCTATGACAAAAAAGCCATTACAAACTATATTATTGGAAAATACACATTGCTCTTTGTATTGTTGTAAAATATTCATGAAAAACAAGATAACAAAAATCAAAAAGATAAATTATTTTAGATATAGCCATGTTTTAAATGTATAGCAGAGATGTTAATTGAGGCAGCAACATACAAACTTTCTAGAACAACATGGACCTGGATAGCTGGTTTTTATGGAGGACAGTGAAGAGGAAGAGGGTGCAAATCAAACAGCTCATTCTCAGACTACACAGCAAACAGCTTAAGTTTTTAGTGCTTTGTTTGAGGTTTTTAGTGCTCTGTCCTATCTATTATCAACATATAATAGATGGAACAGAACAAGAAAGGCAATTAATAATCTGTCATTGCGTCACTGCATTATGATATGAAAGGCTCAGTACAGTGTGGCATAAAACGCTTATGCGCATCCCGAGTGGAGAATGATGCGCTTAAAGCCACATGGAGTTACAGCGCACAGCGCATCGAGTCCGCTTTGATGCAAGCTCTACAATACACTTCTTTTTGATAGTCAAAGCGGGGGTTACGTTTTTACACGTCGTACAGAATAACCCTAAAGGCACCAAGGTGGCGGTGCCACCGACTTTATATTAAATATAAATATAGCTGTGAGCAGCGATAAAGGGCCAAAGCCGGCGGTACCACCATCCCGGTGCCTTTGGGTAACTAAAGGCATCGGGGTTGCGGTGCCACCGGCTTGGGCCCGCAATCGCTGCTCGCAGCTATATTTTTGATTGATGTTGATATGGAGCTGTAATGACTAAACGAATACATTAGTCTACTCTTTCTCTAGCTCTGTCATGAGATGTATTACTTGCAATAGAGTAAGACAACAAAACAAGCAAGGATATGTTAGGCTATATCAGAGAAAGTGTTTCACAGAAACTGGATAATATATGATAGTGAGTGACATGCACTACTGTTTAAAAGTTTAGGGTCAGTTCTGCTCGCCAAGGATTGATAAAAAAAAAATAAACAGTATTATTGTGAAATTTCATTACAATTTAAAAGTTAACTGAAGTGAAGGCCAAGTATGGCAAGCTATGCTTGGAATGTCTTTACTGTCTCTTTTGAAAAATGTAATACATCCTTGCTGAATAAAAGCATTCATTTATTTTTAAAACTTCTTACTGACCCCAAATGTCTGTGTAGTGTGTACACAGTACATACTGTACGTCTGTGTGTGTTTTCCTGGTAAACCCAAGGCTTCTGTGATGGGTAGGTTCAGGGTATCGGATAGAATATACAAAACAGTTTGTACAGTATAAAAATAATTTTGTCAATAGAGAGTCCCCATAAAACACGGAAATCCAACATATGTGTGTGTGTGTTCAGCAAAAAGATCAAAAGATCATTACAGACCCTGTAAGTGCCACCTCTGACACTACAGTCTCTTCTTCAGATACAACCCCCTATTTGTGCTCCCATTCCAGTAAGGAAGAGATAGAGGGTAAAAGCAAATGGGAAAATGCGACAGAAAAACACTATGGGATGTCTAAATGTGGTTGAATAGCTCTCAGTGTGGTACTAATGGATGTCAGAAGCCATAATGATATGTAATGCGATCCTGTACCAGTAGAGGGTGATCTTCAATTACATTAACTTCAATTTCCAGGGAGAAATATTTATTTGATATAACCAAGTAGCTAAAAATGTAATAAATATATCTGAAATAATAATGTTGCATCCGTTAGCCCACAAAAGGGAGTAGTTGAACTGACTGAGATCTTCATCTTCATCTGCATTTAAAACTACCCTACACTCTTAGAAGAAATGGTTCTATTTAGAACCAGAAATGGTTCCATCCCCCGCTTCATATATGGAACTCCAAAATGGTCCTATATAGAACCATTGTTTTGGTAAAAGGTTCTATTGGCCAAGTACGGAACCCCAGGGTTCTATATAGAACCCAGAGGAACCATTTTTTAAAAGTGTATAGAACCTTTTAGGGGTTCCAAATACGTAGCGCTGATAGAACCAGAACCTTTTCTCCTAAGAGTGTACCGTATGTAAGGATCTCTCTGATCCCCTTTTCTGTCTTCTATCTTTATCTGATATAACATCAAGGAAAATATCTCTGTAATACTGTCAAACAGAACTCTGTGTGTTTGTGTGAGTGTTAGAGAGAAAGAAGATCAATAGGCTGACCATTTTTAGCTTCATACATAAAACATGAATGTCAAGGATGGAAATGAGAGAGTGCATTGTGTGTGTGTGTGTGTGTGTGTGTGTGTCTTACTCTGGATTTCCGTTCGCCACGCACTGCAGGTAAAACTTCTCTCCTTCTCTGGGCAGGTCACTCTCAGGCTGAATTGACACGCTGGGAGAAACTGAGAAAAAGCACAAACACATTTCTGAATAATGAGCCAGACAACAACACCAAAACAGCTGTTTCAGATTTTTTTTAGCAGATTTAATTTTTTTTTTTAATTTATTGAAGAAATATAATAAAAAAGTGATATATTATAACACGTTTCTGAGGCTCAAACAAGTAGATGATGCCAGCAATGCCAAGGTCATGTGGGTTTGATCACAGGGAATGCATGAACTGATCAAATGAATGCAATGTCAGTATACACTCGGGTTGTACATAAAGGGCGCTTCAGATTTGGAACTCCTAAAAGGTAACATATAGAACCCTTTTAAAGGCTTCAATCAAAAGAAACATTAAGGGTTCTTTGTAGCCAGGAAAAGGATCTATATAGAAATAAGTAATGGTGAAAAACAGTTGTGATGTGTGAACGCACATCGGTTTATTTTTATTACAAAGCCGGCCCGAAGTCTGGCATTCTGGCACTCTATTTTATTGTTATTTCATCTGACTCCATAAATGAAAAGGTTGTTAATGATATGTGCATCATTAAATATAAGCGAATGTTTGAATATTCCTTTAACTCAGTTAAAATAATCAAAATGTAAGAATTTATCAAGTCAGGTCAACTTATCATTCCAATTTCATAATCAGTTCAAAGATAATCAATACAAAACATCAAATGCTCTGAAATAAAGAGAAGAAATGCAAACCCGACAAATAAGAAATACATGAAGCTGAGAGACTCAGCCTCTCATCTGAAGTACAGAAAAGCGCCCAGAGCCTCTCCTGCTACATTTCATTATATAGACAGACCCCATTTATGTAAACATAAATTCACAGCCGAAATTCATCTTAATCACGATCCCAGACTTACTGGGGGCAGAAGTTGATTTACATCGAACCATTTGCTAACAGTGAGAATTTGCACTTTGTCAACATCCTCCTTTGTGTATGTTATCTCTAAACTCTTAAAAAATGTATGCATCTGTGACGGAATAAATAATATCGTTGTGAGTTCGTTAAATAAATCCTGCAACAATGGGATTGCACTTCCTATAGGATACGCGGGTGGCGCTATAGGCTACCTCGCGCACGTACGATCTGCAGCAGAGTAAGAGAGAACTGCTGTGGGTGAGTCGGTTTTCTGTAAGCTCCGCACTAAAAGTGGAAAAATGTATAATTTCACCTAAATAATGTATGATTATTTGATGGATTGTTCATAAGAGAGACATATTGTCTTGTAAGAGTCTGTATTTATGAGTATTTTGAGTGCTTTATGTCCGCGATTTCCAACTGTGTCATATTTGCCATGTGCTTTCTAATGAGGTGAATATATCTTGGATAGGTGGAGCTGTGAACCTAATGATTCGCCATTTTCTCTCTCTTAATGCTCTGTGTGCAGGTAAATGTTTTATTTTATAGTGTTTTATAATTTTACTGTTCTTAAAGTTGTATCTATCAGATGTATGAAACGAAATAGTTATATAAAAAGGATGATTTAAGTGTACTGTGAACAAGAAATGTTCATAAAAAATATTGAGTAAAGCAGAGTAAGAGAGAACTGCTGTGGGTGGAGCTGTGAAGCTAATGATTCGCCATTTTCTCTCTCTTAATGCTCTGTGTGCAGGAAATAAAGCTTTTCATCCGCATTTTGAGTTCCTGTGTTGTTTAAGAGTGGGGCAGATCACTTACAAGAAACCAAAAGTCACATTGGTGCCGTGACTCAGGACTTCAATCGAGGTGGTCGAAGATCATCTGAACATCAGACCGGCGGGCCTGTCTTCATTCTTCATTGCACAGGACTTTCAGCTAAGCTTTACGGTTAAAAAAAATAAATAATAACCGTGATAAGTGACTCTTGCATAGACACTTGGATGTGATTTTATTTTATTATTTAATTCAGATATTCCTGCATTTGTTGATAGTTCTGTGGACATTTTTTTCTCTTTTCTCACTTTTACTTTTTTTTTTCATTGCTTGATTATGGATCACGCTAAGTTAACTGGATCTGGATATATGGGTACTCCAGTTAGTGTTGGTCGAGGGAGAGGTCTGTTAGCAACACCAGTTCCTTTTCCAGACATTAGCTATGGTTTGGGGTTAGGAGCTAATGCTAGTCCTGATCAAAAGGCTAATGAGGACACTGATCGTGTAAATTGTAACAATTCTGAAAGTACACAGCCAGTTAGCACTTCGACGCCAGTTCTTACTAGTGACATGATGAGTCAGATGGGTAGCATTGTACAACAAGTAGGACTGCAACTGGCAGACAGTATTCTTGAACATTTAAATTTGCGCAGTCAGACTGATGTCACACCAAGACAGAGTCATAATAGCCCCAATAGTAGATATATGACTGACCAAAGCTCTGCATCGAGTGCATCTCAGATTCAAGTAGTACGCCAGAGGGAAGTAAAAGATCCTCCAATCTTCAGAGGCAACGCATCAGACACGGTTACCCTGGATGAGTGGGTGGAGCTCATGAAAAACTTCATAAGGAAAGGACTTCTGCCTACTGAAGAACAGGGTGAGGAAATTTTAATGCACTTGAGAGGTAAAGCCAAGGATGTTGTTAAAGTGGGGATGCTGTCTAGTGGTTTGAATGTCAATACAGATCCAGATGCGATCTACACAATTCTACGGAAGCACTTCAGTTGCCAGCAGTATTCTCCTATCCCACTGCAAGATTTCTACACTACTCTCCCAGAGCCTCAAGAGGATCCCTTTGACTACTGGTTGCGTCTGAACCGTACTGCCGACATCACAGCTGAGTGTTTAAGACAGCAGGGGAAGGTACTAGACAACCAATTGATTGAAGTAACACGTATGTTCATTCGGAATTGTCCCAGTTCAGATCTAGCGTTGACATTTCGCTCAAAAACTATTGACAAATGGACGGCGTATGAAGTACAAGAGATTCTGAACGAGTATCATTCAGAGAAAAGTCTCAGAGTCACAGGACAAGAAACTAAGCTGACTGGATGTGAGCAGAAAGTTTCGGTGAATGAGATGAAGGTGAGCCCTGGGCCCTGTCCAGTGACAACTGAACAAGATTCACCACAGTCAAAGCAGTCAGACAATATGGCTCTGGAAAAGGTGATCGACATGTTGGAAAGAGTTCTGATGAGTAATAGTGGTAATGCACAAGTCAGCAAGGATTACAGGAAGAGACACATCATGTCTAGAATTCCAGGCTTGAATGAGACGCCATGCTTGGTGTGTAAGGACACTTCACATTCTGCTTTTACCCACTGTAGGGACAACAGGCTCTGCTTCCAGTGTTTCTCACCTAACCATTCCAGAAATCGGTGCCCGAAGGAAAGGAAGACTACCTCCTCAAGCAGCCAACAGTTAAACTAAATGATCTACGTGTGAGGGAGGATCCCGTAGATTTTGAGAGTGAAGCTCCCATTTCCAGTTTTGATGATGTGAGGAATTGTGAGTCTTTATGTGACATGTTTAGTGATGAACCTTCAAACAAAACGGTTATCTTTCAGGGTGTTCAGAGAGTACCAAGAGCTGATAGCTTGTTCTACACTTCCGTTGCAGTCGAGCCTGATCTCATTCTCAAAGCTTTACTCGATAGTGGATCAATGGCATGTACACTTAGTGAGTCTGCGGAAGAACGATTATTGAGAAGTAACCCAGACTTGACAAGCCAGTCAACAGAAGATATTGTCATTGTTGGTTGTGGTGGCCATCATGTTACTCCTACAGCGTGCTACAATCTTAAAGCTACTGTGTACGGCTGCTCAATGATAATTCCTGTTCTGGTTGTGCCTGGACAGACGGAAGAAATGATTTTGGGTACAAATGTCATAAAGAGACTGTTGACGCAACTGAGAGAGACTGATGGTTACTGGAGGATGATGTCTAAATCAAGCAGCAATGAGAATGATGAGTGCTGTATGTTTCTGTCTCTTTTCTCGAATATCGAAGGGTGGAGAGGTGAATCCATACCGGAGAAAGTTGGCACTGTAAAGTTGCAGAGGAGTGTGACACTAGAGCCGCAGACTGAACATCTGGTTTGGGGTAAGCTACCTCAGTCGTCTGTCTTGTCGGTTGGCAGCACTGTCATCGTAGAACCAACCGAATCCAGATCGAGACCCAGGCAAATTCTGATTGGGAGGGTCATAACACCACTATGGGGAGACGGCTCTATCCCCTTGAGAGTCATTAACCCTACTGACCACAGAGTTGTGCTAAAGAGGAATTCGAAAATTGCTGACGTGTCTCCTTGTATTGCTATGCAGGATTTACCGTTACCAACACAGATTCAGTCAAATCTGCAGTGTACTGAGGAACCTTTACCACCTAGATCCAGTGAAGAGATGAAGCGTGTCTTAAATGAATTGGGTCTTGGTGAACTTGATTTGGAGTCTTGTGAAGTATCAGCCCAATGGAAGGATAAGTTGTTGTACCTCATTGAGAAGTATGAATCTGTGTTCTCAAGAGACAAAATGGACTGTGGAGAGGCTAAAGGCGTTGTCCATCGGATTAATCTCACTGACGACAGACCATTCCGCTTTCCATATAGGCGTATACCACCGAGCCAGTATGCAAAACTGCGGACAGCATTAAACGAGATGGAGGAAAAAGGAATTATCCGCAAGTCGCACAGTGACTATGCGTCACCTCTTGTTTTAGTATGGAAGAAGAATGGCGATCTCAGGATCTGCACTGACTTCAGGTGGTTAAATGCGAGGACTGTCAGAGATGCCTACCCATTACCACATCAGTCTGATGTGTTAGCTGCTTTGGGTGGCAATGCGTTCTTTTCTACCATGGATCTTACCTCAGGGTATTATAATGTTCCTGTAGCGGAAGAACACAAAAAGTACACTGCTTTCTCTTCCCCGTTTGGACTTCACGAGTATAACAGGCTTCCTCAGGGTCTTTCGAATAGCCCAGCCACTTTCATGAGAATGATGATGTCTATCTTTGGAGATGAGAATTTCAGCAGCGTTCTCTGTTACCTTGATGATTTGATGGTGTTTGCGCCGTCTGAGTCAGTTGCTCTTCAACGCCTTGAAATGGTTCTCTTGCGGTTGACGCATCATAATCTAAAGTTGGCTCCTGGAAAATGTTTTCTCTTGAGACGATCTGTGAAATTCCTTGGACACATTGTCTGTGAGGAAGGGATTAAGACTGATCCTGGTAAAGTTGAGGCCATTAATAACATCACAGCATCTGATTTGATGGAACCTGATGGAAAAACCCCGTGTCAGAAGAAGATCAGGTCCTTTCTTGGGATGGTTTTATATTATCAACATTTCATTGAAGGATGTTCAGCAAAAGCTAAGCCTCTATTCAAACTGACATCAGGTACAGTCAAACAGTCTTTGGTCACGAAAGGACGCAAAACAAGGAAGAAAGTCAGTTATCTCAAACTCTCTCCAGCTGATTGGACATCTGATTGTGAGGAAGCTTTGCGCATCTTGAAACTAGAACTAACAAGGAATGTGACATTGGCTCATCCGGACTTTGATCAACATTTCATTCTGGCTGTAGACGCATCATTTGACGGAGTAGGAGCAGTATTGTCGCAAGTTCTGCCTGGTGAAGAGATTGCCAGACCCGTAGCCTTTGCGAGTAGAACTCTGTCTCGCTCACAAATGAACTACCCAGCTCACAGATTAGAGTTATTTGCTTTAAAGTGGGCTATCTGTGAGAAGTTTAGCCATTGGCTGAGAGGACGGCATTTTACGGCTTGGACCGATAATAACCCTCTTACTTATATTCTGACTAAGCCACGGCTGGACGCATGTGAGCAGAGATGGGTGGCGAAACTGGCTTCTTACAGTTTTGATCTCAAGTACGTTCCAGGAACAAAGAATGTGGTTGCGGATGCCTTGAGTCGGGAGCCATTCGTTCAGTCTTGTATAGGCCATCGTCTCATCACTGAACCTTACTTGTCTCTTTTGAAGGATGTCAGTGGTGTCGTTGACAATTCTGTCCAGGATGCTTTCAAGTGCACGAGTAATTATCAAGTCATGCAGGAGGGTGGGAAAGATTCTGGTGAGCCAAACAGTGATGGACCCTTGTCTTCAGGTTCTTCTGGGAGTGAAGAAGTTTCTGCAGTGTTGGCAGCACATTCTACTGGCGGCTTGAGTGAAATACTGGGGATGGTACCAGCCCTCTCACCACCGCAACAGTTGAACCCTCCATTACAGCACAGTACCATTGTTCAGGAGCAGGAAATGGATAGCACCTTGAGTCGGATTCGTTACTACATTGAGAGATGTCGAAGACCATCTAAGAAAGAACAAACCAAAGAATCGAAAAGTGTGAGGAGACTGTTGAAACACTATGATAGGCTGCTCATCAGTGATGGTGTGTTGTATAAGGTGAAGAGAGATCCGAAGCTGAACAAGAAACTGCACCTGTTCGTTGTACCTGTTTCCTTAAAAACACAAGTTCTACAGGGAATACATGATGCAGCAGGACATCAAGGTCGTAGTAGAACACTGTCACTAGCAAGACAACGATTCTTCTGGATTGGAATGAGGAAAGATATTGATGATCATGTGGCGAATTGTTGTCGCTGTGTGGTTGGTAAAACTTCAGAACCCAATGCCTGTGCTTCGTTAACCAGTATCCGTACATCAGAGCCACTTGAACTGGTCTGTATCGATTTTTGGTCTGCAGAGCTCAGAGAAGGGAAGTCTGTTGACGTGCTGGTTGTGACAGATCATTTTACAAAGATGGCCCATGCTTTTCCATGCCAAAATCAGTCTGCCAAACAAGTTGCGAAAAAGCTCTGGAATGATTTCTTTTTAGTTTATGGATTTCCCAAGAGAATTCATTCTGACCAGGGGGCTAATTTCGAGAGCAAGCTGATTAAAGAACTGTTGACCATGGCGGGTGTGGACAAGTCACACACAACTCCATACCACCCCATGGGTAATGGCATAGTTGAGAGGTTCAACAGGACTTTGGGTAGTATGATCAGGACGTTACCTCCTAAAGCAAAATCAAAATGGCCACAAATGCTCCAGCAACTTACCTTCTGTTATAACTGCACGGAACATGAGACAACTGGCTTCGCACCTTTCTTTCTTATGTTTGGCCGAGTTCCTCGTCTTCCAATTGATATCCTGTTTCAGAACGTGCTTTTCAATGAGGATGTGGTGGATCTAAAGGATTTTGTATCAAAGTTGAAAAATGACTTGCGTGAAGCAGCACGTATAGCACAAGAACACACTTTGAAGGAACAGGAACGGCATGGCAGACTGTATAACAGAAAAGTGAAGGGATGCCCACTGGCTGTTGGAGATAGAGTGCTGGTTGCAAACAGGGGTGAAAGAGGCAGGAAAAAAATTGCTGACAAGTGGGAGTCGTCTCCATATGAAGTCATGGTGGTTTATCCAGATATCAATGTTTACAGAATTCGATCAATCACCTCAGACAAAGTGAGAGTAGTCCATAGGAACTTCTTGTTGCCTGTGAACTTCCTACCAATTGCTAAGTCCCAGAACCAGGATCAACGGTGTGATGACGTGAATGAGGAATTGATTCAAGGAAAAGAAATTGAACATGATGACAGAACTGCAAACTGGATATTAAGTAGTCCTGATGGTGTTGTTGAAAATGAGGAACATACAAACCGGATAGACTTACCTGATGTGTTGGACTGTGCGTCGGAGATCCTGGATTCCATGAGTGTTGACGCTGGGAGTCTGGATGCACGGAGTGATGTAACGCAGCAAAGTGATGTTGAAAGGAGTAATGGACATGCTCAGAGTGTTGTTGATTTACCTGAAATGGTTGCTCAAGACTGTGATTCAACTCGAGGAGAATTGTTTGTGCATGAGGATACAGAGGAACCTGTGATTTGCACACAACCAGAACTTGTTGATACAGTAGTGACTCAAACTAGACTTGGCAGAGTCATTAAACCTCCTAAAAGACTGCTTTATGAGATGAACACACAAAACATAAACAGCTCAGATTCTACAGTGAGTTCTTTTGTTTATTTAGTTAAACACATTTTCACATAAACAGTGATATTTGATTTTGTGCATGAGCTGAGAATACATAAAAGAATGTTGATACAGAGATTTGAAGTCTAATCAGGAGTTAGTGTATAATGATATTTTGAGGTGTAACAGGCATCTTTTTTTTGGTCTACTGGGAGATTGGGGATAGGCGCCTTCCTTATCTTTCGGTACTCCTATTGGGAGAATCAACTGATTGACAGCTAATCATACTCCATGTGCACTTTATTCTTTCTTTATTGATGTTGTATTTCAGCATTCCAATTTTGTCTTTCTTCATCATTTTTTTCTTTATTGTTGGTTGAATTGTAAAGTTACTGAGTTATGGTATATCCCCATTTAGCAGGATTTAAGGGGGGTGTATGTGACGGAATAAATAATATCGTTGTGAGTTCGTTAAATAAATCCTGCAACAATGGGATTGCACTTCCTATAGGATACGCGGGTGGCGCTATAGGCTACCTCGCGCACGTACGATCTGCAGCAGAGTAAGAGAGAACTGCTGTGGGTGAGTCGGTTTTCTGTAAGCTCCGCACTAAAAGTGGAAAAATGTATAATTTCACCTAAATAATGTATGATTATTTGATGGATTGTTCATAAGAGAGACATATTGTCTTGTAAGAGTCTGTATTTATGAGTATTTTGAGTGCTTTATGTCCGCGATTTCCAACTGTGTCATATTTGCCATGTGCTTTCTAATGAGGTGAATATATCTTGGATAGGTGGAGCTGTGAAGCTAATGATTCGCCATTTTCTCTCTCTTAATGCTCTGTGTGCAGGTAAATGTTTTATTTTATAGTGTTTTATAATTTTACTGTTCTTAAAGTTGTATCTATCAGATGTTATTTTCTGAAACGAAATAGTTATATAAAAAGGATGATTTAAGTGTACTGTGAACAAGAAATGTTCATAAAAAATATTGAGTAAAGCAGAGTAAGAGAGAACTGCTGTGGGTGGAGCTGTGAAGCTAATGATTCGCCATTTTCTCTCTCTTAATGCTCTGTGTGCAGGAAATAAAGCTTTTCATCCGCATTTTGAGTTCCTGTGTTGTTTAAGAGTGGGGCAGATCACTTACAAGAAACCAAAAGTCACACATCATATCATAAATTCTCCAATTAAAATCAAACAGTCTATGCTGAAAGCACCTGTCTGATATGTATATATGAAGAGTTCAGATGCAAAAGCCTCTAAATGCCATTTGAAATTTTCCTCTTTAATGATGATTTTTACCAAACTTGTATATTTAAGTTCAGTAATTTCACTTAAATGGCAATGATAATTACCTATTAATTGTTATTTAAGTGAAATTACTGAACTTAAATATACAAGTTTGATAAAAATCATCATTAAAGAAGAAAATTTCAAATGGCATTTAGAGGCTTTTGCATCTGAACTCTTCATATCATCTGCGATATAAACTTTATTAGCAGAACTTCTGCTGACTGACATTTCTACAATCACACATTAGTATAGCGTCATACCATTCAGCTCTACACAACATCTACATTTTTAGAAGAAAAGGTTCTATATAGAAACTTAAAAGGTTCTATCAGCGCCACGTACACTATTTGGAACCCCTAAAAGGTTCTATACACTCTTAAAAAAAGGGTTCCTCTGGGTTCTATATAGAACCCTGGGGTTCCATACTTGGCCAATAGAACCTTTTACCAAAAAAATTGGAATTCCATATAGGGAACCATTTCTGGTTCTAAATAGAACCATTTCTTCTAAGAAGCCTTCTGGCTTTTGTGTGTGTGTCTTACACAAGACGCTGAGGGGCTGTTCTGTCTTCTTGTCTCCATTGGCAATGGATGCGTGATCCACCTCACAGGCGACCAGAGCGTTGTTATCATTCCTTGTGACAGTGAAGATGAGCTCGCTGGTTACTGTGTAGGTTGGTTCTTCGGGGTTGGACTCCACAACATCAGGACGCCCTACACATACACAAACACAAATTAAACACTGTAATTACTGAACTACAACCGTTTGAGTTCAAAGTGGATTTTTGACCTGACTGCGTGTGTGTGTGTGTGTGTGTGTGTGTGTGTGTGTGTGTGTGTGTGTGTGTTTACCCGGTTTCTCCTCTTGATTAAGGTACCAGCGTAGTTTAGCAGGAGGTTTGCTGCCTGAACTCGTGCAGGTAAGAGTAACCGTGCTGCCCTCCTGAACAGCATCTTCAAAACCTGTTATCACCGGCTTGCCTGGAACACCTGTGAGAGATAAACAGAGATGTGAAGTAAATACATTGAATTTCTAGGTGCAATTTGAAGAAACTAAGGGGCTAGATTCTGGCTAGATAAGGGGCTAAATTATGGTTAAAATGTAAATAAAATGAAAACTGGTCTGCACCCTAAGTAGCGGCTCACTATCAACAACATCTAGCTGCTTGTATCAGGCCTTCATGGAATTTGCACCAAAATAATTCTGCTCAGATGAATTCAAATGTCCATCATTCAAAAAAAAGGTCAACCCTGTAGCATTATGGCTACAAAACGTTAAGTTGTCTCATGGGAATAAACGCAAAAACAAACATACATCATGACCAGGGCAGACTGACTCATGAAAAAAATGACTCTTCTTTTCATGAATCTTTCATTATCAGTTTTAATAGTTCTGACAAATGTTGTACTATATGAACTCATTGAATCCGCAAGTTACAGCAGTTATCGAATTGACATCTGACACACTTACTGACCTCTAAATTACCCATGGATGGATGGGTGGAGTTGTCTGTGTTGGATTGAATTACAACAATTTTTTTTTTTTAATTTTGTAATGGTGTCAGTTGCATCACCATTTCAATGGTTGTCCATTTGTGGCTAAGATCACTTTGAGAGCTCTTTTAATCATCTAATAGAAAAGCCATGCTTTCAGAAGCGACAAAAATACATTAATTGAAAGGCCATCGTCCATTAAACAAACCGATATTTTCCTCATGCTAAAGATACCCATGATTATAGTCTCAGACTTGTTGTGGGAATTTTACTCATTAGTGAAGATTACTAGGTAGTCTGAGCCATGTGTTTGCATTGAACCTATTCCATGAGTAAAATATAGTTGTCTACGTGGTTGTGGGTGACGTTTCGGGAACATATGGGGCAGGACTTCTGACCTTAGGGACGGTTTATTTCAGTAGCAGTTTGTGTCCTTAAGTAGAGACTAAACAGCAGTAACGGCCATCTGGGTGGGTGAAAGGTACAGCGGGTGAAGAGGAACCTTCAAAAGACTATACGAGCTGTCTCATGTCCACAGTGTAACTGCTGGGTTGACTGGGCCTATTCTTGCAAGAATAAAAACGTATCTTTCTTTATTAATTTGACTCTGAGTGGTTAACGCAGTGATGATGTTTGACAGGATTTTTGCCATAACAGACTTTTAGCGAAATACATGAAGAGCGATGGGGTATATGCTACATATATCAATAATTCTACTGATTCATACCACCTTGACAGAAAAAAAACCCCACATATACACACACACTCACACACACTTACCAAGTACAGTAACTGTGGCTCGTGCTGTCCGTACAGGCATGGTGAAAATGGAACAGGTGTACTCTCCATCATCTGACAGCTGAACTTCTGCGATGGTGATTATCAGCTCTGTAGCCGTGGACTTTACCAACTGGATACGGTTATCTCTCAGTGCTGAGAAAGACAGAGCAGATAAGCGAAACACATACACTACATAGGTGCCAAATACTAGAATTTTTAGCATTTTATTTCCTCCCTGAAAACCATTGTGATTTAGATTTATGTGATTGCTTTCGACCATTTCTCTAACTCTTCCATGTTCTACTTTATCAGACTCAAACTTGTTAAATTTGTTTGTACTGTAGTTCGAAAAAAAAGCCCCATGCAATCTTATGTGTACATTTCTGATCCATACTACATTCATATGACGTTGAAATCCATTTATAATAAGATTTCTTTTAGTATGTCTAAGAGTGTCTTGAGATGTGTATGTAACATTATACTGAGTGCGCAATTTTGTCTGATCTGTATACGCCTCATTTTCGCCTACTCTTTACTCAACTAGCGAACCATGTGACGTTCCCTATGTAGTGAACAGTGAACGAGTCAGCAGTTTTGGATACAGTATGCATGAATGCATAAACGCCTATGTTCTCTTACAGATCTTGTGAGATCAGCACCACAGCGAGATGACAGGCATGAGTACAGGCAAAGTTTCCAGTTTTCTGTTCTCTCTTTCCACTGACAGCTACTCTCTGTTGTTGTTTGAGAAAGTCTATAGGCATCATGCTGATGCTGGCATTACTACTATCACAAACCATGAAGATACTTTGGATATTGACAACAGAGATTTCACCATGCAAAATGACAGTGCAGACCGTCCTCAGATTATATCTGTGAGCAAGCAAGTCTAGGAAATAAACAAGTTCTACATTTAGGAATTCCATATGAAAAATGTTACAGTTGGCTAGCATCAGAGTAAGCCAAGTGGCGAAATACTGGATATTTATATTTATGTGTTCATGTTGCAATGTCATATTCATGATTTTGACATTGATTTACACTTGTCTTTCTCTTTTATGCAATGATATATATATATATATATATATATGTTGAATTAGCATTTAGGGTTAGCTTTATTTAGCTTTATTTTTTTATTTAATATTATTTAGTAATCATATAATATACATTTTTAATATTACATATAATATTTACTATTATTTAGTAAACTTATTTTATTTCAACGTTTCTAATTTTCATTTAAGTTTTTTTATGTTTAAGTTTGTCACCTAATATTTCAGCCCGTTCTCATCCCAAGGCGTGATACATGACGCTTTTACCACAGCGTAGACATCCAACGCACATGGCACCCTTTAGCGTCAATATGAGACGCAGATATATATGGGTCAGGCGCCTCCTAGTGGTCTATATATATATATATATATATATATATATATATATGTATAAGACGCCTCCTAGTGGTCTAACCCTAACCCTACCCCAGACCTAAACGTACTCATACTCTGTGCGTGTTATATTGACGCTAAAGTGTGCCATGTACATTGGATGTCTACGCTTTGGCAAAAGCGTCGTATATGACGCCTTGGGATGAGAATGCGTTGAATATTTAATTTTTTTTTTCTGTTTCAGTTTTATTTAAATCATAAAAATAATTAAGTTTTAGCTGTGGTAACACGGTTCTCTTCTGGGATAATGGAGCAAAAATGCAGATGACTCATCCTGCACTTTAGTATTAGTATTTTTGCCCAATCAAGTGTTCTGTAGAATGAAAAAACAGGCTGGCAATGATCGAGAAAACATGTTTGAGAAGTTATTATTTTTGCTAATGGTGCAGAAATTACATACTTCACCTTTGAACAAAAGGAGAACTTGTGTCTACCGCAGATTTACAGTAAATGTGTGTGTGCGCTTCATGGTTTATCAGTAAGTGAAGGGCACTTAATTTGTCTTCATCAGCTGACGGTCCTCTGTCCTCCATCCTGCTCTTTCATGCACACACTCCTCCTTTGTCATTACTCCCTTTATCTCACTTCGCTCATCCTCCCATCCATCGTTCCTCCACACTAATCTATTCATCTCTTCACACTTGTGCGCATGCGCGTCACCTGTTCTTCTTTTACTGGTGATCTCTCTCTCTCTTTTCTACACTGCAAAAAAAATCTGTATTTTTGTCTTGTTTTCCAAATATCTAAACATCCTTCAATTAAGATACAGTAAATTCACTGGGGAGCAAAATTGTGTAAGATAATGAGATTTGGCAAACACTTTAGTTTTAATTGTCACTAGGCACATTAGGATATAGTGAGAATTTGACCCTAAACAAAAGTGTAACAGAGATTAGTTTTGAGAGAATATCTTGATTCGAGTAGTTTTCACGCTAAATTTAATTGGATTTATACTTAATTCAATAGAAAAATAAACTTAATTGGAATTTGAAAACTCTTATGGAAACTCTTATAAGCAAAATTTTGCTAAAATGTATTTATTATCCTAATTTTGAATACTTTAGTTAAGGGTCCAATTCTAACAATTAACTTGTTGCTTATTAGCATGTATATTACTAGGATATTGGCTGTTTATTAGTATTTATAAAGCATATATTATTGCTTTATTCTGCAACACCTTATATCCCTACCCAATACAACTTAACAACTAACTTACTAACTATTAATATGCAGTAATTATGAGTTTACTGAGGCAAAAGTCGAAGTTAATAGTTAATTAATAGTGAGAATTGGACCCTAATCTAAAGTGTGACCATAAATTTATATAGTTTTAAATATATATATATTTTTTTGTGAAAACAAGATGAAATACAACAAAATGTATTTCTTTTCTCCCTTCTTTCAACGATCCCTCCTTCCTTCTCATTCAATAGACTGTTTTCTATTTCTGCTTTTTCATGGTGCTCTCTTGTCGCCTTCTTTTGTTTTCCACTTTAATCAGGTCATTCCTCTATTCTCTCTCAGTCTTTCTCTCTCCATCACCTCGCTTTTCGTTATCACAGAGCCACCTGTTTGTTTTTAGGGTGATATTAATGTTTTAGGAAGGTGTCTCACACATTCTTTTTGTGTTCGATGTTGGGGGACTAAGAGCTCTGTGGAAATCTCTACGGAAGGGTCCAACAAAAATCTATTTTCTGTTCAGACCAAAGTGGCGAGTAATTGCAGTCACAGACCACAGTCTTAAAAGCGTTCGCGTAAAAGAGAGGTCATGAAATGTCTGCTTGTTAAAGTTGGTGTGAATTGCCATTTACAACCAGTTTTATCTGTAATTTGACACCTTTTGTGAGAAATAGGATATTACTTAATAAATAAATAAATATAAAATTAGTCAACGATTAAAAATGTACAACAAGATTTCATTTCATTCATCAGGAATTGATTGAATTATGAGCCATACTGCAGCCAGACTGAATGAAAGTTTGCTTAAATAAAGTAATGTGAACTTTAGACGGGAAAATATTCAAGAAATAATTTCTTATGAGCCCCCTTTTCACATATATGCTTCTGAAGACTTGAAATATATAACCTAAATCATACAGAATAATTTTGCTATAATTTTTGTAGTACTTTTTTTTTTTTTTTTTGGTAATTTGTGGCAACAGTACCCATTCACTTTAATTATATGTAAAACAGCAGCGACAGACATTGTGCAAAACATCTGCTTTTGTTCTCCACAGAAGAAAGAAAGTCATTCCGATTTGGAAGAACATGAGCATCATCATTTTCTTTTTAACATCGATGGCACTCACCTCTCTTCTCTCCAAAGTACAAGGTCTGCTGGGCCGTGTTAGACCACTGGAGGGAGGAGTTATCGTTTTCCTTCACACTGCATGTCAGGGTCACCACCCCGCCCACTGCCACCGTCTCATCTTGGGTCACTGGCTGGAAGGGGTCTTCATCTGGGCAACAAGACAGAGATAAATGAGAAGTTATTAGAGCCAAAAAAGAGAGAAAAACAAGATGGCATTATGAAATGAGATATAGTTAGAGACAGAGAGAGGACGAGACAGTGAGAAAATGAGAGTGAGACTTAGGTGAAAATTAGATGTTTTGTCCCCATCATCATGGTCTTTGAGAGCAGTGCAGTGTATTTCTTGCTAAAAAAAGAGAAAGAAATGGAAAAGGAAAAGGAAATGGCATCGTTAAGTTGCCTGCACCTCACGCTGCGGGGGTTGCTAGAGAAGGAAACTGAAGACTACGATTAACATGAAAAGAGATAGGAAGGAAATTGAACAGGTATGGTAATAATTAAAATGACGACTGAGGTCTCCGAGATTCTGAAGAAAAACAATATATCTTAAAGGGGGCATATAATGATGCTTTGCTAGCGATTCTGGAGCCACATATTAAAAACAAGACCACCAATTTTCGTGAACCAATCGATTCTGAACGGAGACTGGCAGTGTGTCTGAAATGGACCAGGTATGGACACACACACACCCGCGCGCGGCCCGGTGGAAGCGCTGGGCAGACAGAACAGCTAGGCTGTTATTGTGTATATTGTGCCCAAATAATACATTAGTTATCGAATAAGCTGCTCAATCACACCTTATTCGATCCTAAATTTCAATCTGATTGAAAGGGGAGGTTTATTAATTTCATAATCCAATATAGAGAAGAGAACATAAACACTTGATCGAATTGAAAACCGAAACTGAAAGCACGGCGCATATGTGCAATGATTTGAGGACGAGCTCCCCCCGGCCCTGAATTGTCAAAAGACCTCTCAAAATGCTGGCTCTGGATGCGAAAAACGCAGAAAATCGAACCCGATCCGATTAATTTTATGACGGACGAAAGTTTCGGAGGCGGTGTGCAAGCGTGACTGACATAACGTGAGGTCGAATTTTTTTTTTAACGTGCGAAAATTTCGGATGCGAATTTCGGACTCGGTGTGCAATGGCCTTAATGTTAATATAAAGGTTAACAAAATTTTACACTCACTTCTTCTGGAGGTGCAACAGGGACATGAATAGTTGGAACCGATTATTTTCTCAGGAGCAGCTTCTTAGCAAAACCAGCTTTATTCTGATCCTCATTTATAAAGCAGTCTGATGAGAAAAGATTTGCGAACTGCGCAAATATGAAAGCATTGGCATTGCTCATGGGGAATTTTCCCTTCGAAAACAAAACTCAGTCACTGTGTCTTCAGCGGTTTAGATTTGGGAACATCAAAATGACTGCTGTGTTCGTCATTACATCCATGAAACAGAACACCACAATTGCTAGACGCTATTCTGCTCCAGCGTATCAACAATGGCGGACTATGATGACAGTTCACTCGGGGTGGGTCTGGGTGGAAACACTCCAATGCTTCAAACCTTACCTCTCAAGTAGATCCTTCAGGGTGGTGTGGAGAGGATAGGTGTTTAAGTTGCAACATCTAGCTACTGGGGTGCTTCAGGGCTCAGTGCTTTGACCACTTCTCTTCTACATGTACAAGTCATCACTAGGATCTGTCATTCAGAAACGTGTTCTTTCCTATCACTGTTATATGACACAACTCTACCTCTCATTCTATACATCTCAATCTGTCAATTCTTGCTGGATGAAGGGCAACCACCTTCAACTAAACCGTGCAAAGATAGAGCTATTTGTGGTCCCGGCCAACCCAAAACTCCATCACAACTTCTCCATTCAACTAGCTTCTTCAACAATAACTCCACAGACCACATTGCTAGAGCTGCCCAGTTCTGGAGATTTGCCTTATACAACATTAGGCCTATCGGAGCATGCTACACAACTTCTTGTTCAAGCACTTGTTCTATCCAGACTGGACTCAGTGGACTATTGTAATGCTCTCTTGGCAGGCTTTCCAGTATACCGTCAAAACTCTGCAACTGATCCAGAGTGCTGCAGCAAGAGTGGTCTTTAACGAGCCGAAGAGAGCGCACGTCACACCTCTCCTCATAAAATTGCACTGATTGCCAATTGCCGCCCGCATCAAATTCAAGGCACTGGTGCTTGCCAACAGAACAACCACTGGCTGTGCTCCCTTTTACCTAAACTCATAACTTCAGACTTACGTGCCATGATCAAGAAACTTGCATTCTGCAAGTGAACGGCGCCTTGTGGTTCCATCTCAAAGCGGCACGATATCACTTTCACAGACCTTCGCCTGGACTGTTCCCAGCTGGTGGAATGACCTGCCTAACTCAACCCGAGCTCCTGAGTCTTTTGCCATTTTCAAGAAACGGCTAAAGGTGCATCTTTTTCGGCAACACTTGATCCATTAACACTAAAACTTTCTTTTTATGTCTCTTCTAATCTATATCTATTTTCATAAAAAAATAAATATGCAGTCTAAACTGGGAAAGGTCACTTTCATATTGTTGTCCTTTTGCTAGCTTAATTGCTTCTATTGCTCTCCTCATTTGTTGCTTTAGATAAAACCGTCTGCTAAATGGTTAAATGGAAGTGTAACATTTTTGTGGTTTTATATTGGTTCCTTAGTGTTTGTAGGGATTGGGGTTTGAGGCTAACACATGTACAGCCCTTCAGGCATCTAACAGATGATGAATTTACTCAAATGTGTCTGTGTGAGTGCGAGTATAAAGGCCAGATGTAATGCCAATGTGAGTCTAGCTGTATGATAATTCCGCCCTGGGCGGCACATGCTCCACTTTACCCAATAATTACCACTTAGGTTATAATCGATGACCTTTTTAATGCTGACCGCTGCAGGATCAACTCTGGGCGAAACGCTGTCTGAATGTTAGGCTAATGGCAGCTTGAATGAAGCAATGCATTAATGTTTAGTGAATGCTGGGCAAATGCTAGCTTGATGCTGGCCAAGCTCTGGACTCAAAGAGATTAAACAGGGGGCAAAACTTGGCTGAATGTTGGACGTATGCTGGCTGAATGAAGGGGCAAATATAATTGCAAGGCTAACATTGTTTGTTTGAATGCTGGCTTAATCTTGGCCCGATTCCAATTTCAAACTGGCCTTATGATACTGCTTTTGTCGGACTCAATCTTGAATTGATTCAGGCTAAACGCTGGCTTAATTCTGGCCTGATGTTTTTCTAGAGCTGGGATTAATCTACTCAATCGCAGGCCAAATGCCGGATTTCCAAGGGCAAATATGTGGGACAAACGCAGGTGCGCTAGGCGAGTGTGAAGCTGGGACGAACTCAGCCTGATTAGCTTAAAAGGCTTTAACAAGATGCTTTTATAAATAGAGTTAGAACAGAAGGGATGAGAAAAGACTAAGTCTCAGCATCTACATCACAGAACATCTGGCTAAGCATTCATGGGCATGTGAAAACCTCATGTACGCTCAAAACTGACAGTGGTAGAATTAGAGTTTGCCCTCTAATCCCAATGAACCTATGCCAAAAGATAATAGGCTAAAATTAGCCTTTAGCTTTAGCGCACACAGTACAGGCTACTTATCGGCAACCAATTAGAGCAGTGTTAGCAGTTAATAAGCGATTAGTGGGTCACATACACGCTCTCAGTGCAGTGGACAACTGCTGCAGGGGGCACTTACTGAGACTCTCAAAATGGCATCTGATCCATTTAACTGGTTATGTCAGGACACTGACTCGACTCTAATCACTGAGTGGATGGAGTGAAGTGGAAATGCAGAGAGACAATCTGGGTGTTTTTTTTTTTCAATTTCAAAGAGAACGCCACTATGTCCTACTCACTCTAAAGGGCAGAACACTTAAAGTGAGTACTCTGAAGGGTGCAGGGCTTCACTGTCTCACATCTGCATGATTGGGACACACTACACAAATATATGTCTCTGCCACTTTATTTTGAATCGTAAAATTGGCTTGATAACGTACGCAGTAAAATTCATGGGAAATTTTTCATTCTGACATTATTTACTCATCGTGTAATTTCAAACCTGCCTGGAACACGAAAGAAGACATTACTTTTCAACTGCGTTTGTCCAAACAACCAAAGTCATTGGTGTCCAGCCAAAACAACACTATACCCCCACTGACTTTCATGATAAATTGTAAAATAAACAAAAAAAGAACAACAGATATTATTTGTTCCATAAATACAAGTTTGGTATAACAGATGGACAAGAAGTAGAGACAAAAAATGCCTTTAAATTTACATTTAGCAGATGAAACTTCTAAAAGAGGAACAAAGAAGTGCATTAGGAAGCAAGCTAGAGGAAAAGAATTATGCTGAGTAGACTGTTTTGTGTGTTAAAAAGCCTATAAATCGGCCAAAATATGTCTTTATTTAAATCTAGTGTTTTGCACATTTCTGTGATGGGGTAGGTGATAGAAAATATATTATTAACCTGATGTAAAATCATTGGAAATCTATGCAATGTTCTCACTATAGTTTTGCACCTTAAACTTCACAACAGTCACAACTGGGAGGCAGCGGAGTGAAATCAGGAGGGGTGTGACGTTGGGTGTAAAAACAAAATGTTTAAGATAGTGTAAAGATATTTTTTAAAAGAATATTATTTTCACCAAAAATTTTTCATTGACAATTATTATTTTTTATGGAATATTGCAATGTTTATTGAATGATTTATCCATGCATATTATCTATGCCTATTTTTAATCAAAAACAACATGATTTACAGGTTTTACAATTTTGAATTGGCTTGACTTGCAAATTGAGAATGATTCATTTTGAGTTTAATTTGATTAGTGATTCATTTCTCAATTTTAAAATGCATTTTGGTTCAAACCATGTTAATTCTCAATGCAAATGAACCCACATTTAATGTAGTCTGGGTCATATTTACATTTACCTTGTTTAATCTTCTACAAAGCAACAGATGAATTTGTGCCAAAATTAAGCAGAGTTTTCTGGACAAAATTCTTTTTATGTCAACAACAAAAGACATGGAAAGCAGCACTTTCTTCTTCCTTTGAGGAGCAGATAAGCCTATTTATTTATCTATGCATTATCATATATG